AATGTCGTTTTAACATCAAGTTAATATTAGGGATTTGTATATACTTCTGAAAAAACAATAAGAGCGTCTAGAATCTCGTTATCACTTTGGGTTGGGGGGTGGTTAATAAAAACTCATGTAACTAATAACATTTGTCTAAACGAAGTGTCACAATTTGGAAATGTTTGGATTGAAAGGTAAACTTTTAGAGATTATGGTCTAAAGTGTTTTTTGCCAAAATCTAAAGGTCGAAACGAATTATACTCATTAAGAGTGTTAAACTGAATGAAGTTAAAAAAGAGAAAACAGTCTCCATCAGTTGTTATTGTAGAAGAAGAAATCAATCAAGAATGGAAGATAGTGACAAGGTGTAGTAGCCATTATCACACAACAGCTTGTAATTGGATTGGCTTAAATACAAAGGACAACTTGCCTCATTTATATACCTAAATTATTTAAAATTATAATTGTTCCTGTCTTCTTGTTCTTCATCATCGCCACCTAATAGTCAAATTCCATGACTTTGCTTCTTTAAAGCAAAGGGAAAGATTTTTTTCTTACTCTTTGTCTTTGATATTTATATCATTTGGTATTAAGTTCGCTTCCATTCCCTGCCAAGGTATAATTTCCACCTATTCTTCCTTTATAGCTTTAACATATTCAAAAGGCTTTCGGTTGTTTTAGACTTTGAAATATGAGTAATACTATATATACATCATTTTTATATAATATTTCTCATACAACATTATGTGGTAATATATGATTGACTAATTTAAAATTAAAATTAAACTTTCACCCAATCATATCTTGCCACATAATGTTGTATGGAAATGATGTATGTGTAGTATTATTTTTGAAATATATGCTTAAATGAATCTCCACATCAGCTCTTATCTACATTTGGTGCGTGAGAGGTCCCATGTTGACTCGGAAACACGTCGACTTGGACATACTTTTTGCTGACTGTACACGCTTTTATTGGTCCACAATTTTTCAACATTAGTCTAATCTTCCATTACAGAATTTTTGAACATTCCCGTCCAATTAATTTTTTTTTAAATAAAATAATAATCTCAAAATTGCTATAAAAAGAAAGCCAAGAAAAAAACAATGAGAAAGTACAAAGACAATGTGTTACGACGTAGTTTTTACATCATAAATATTAATATTCTTCACATACTTATACATCAATGAAGCAGGACCATGCTTATTAATATTTTTATTTTGTCTATGAAACGTGGGCTTCTCTGGAGTCTGGACCAACAATGGTGCGATATTTAGGATGATTTTATCAATATAAGACAAATGTATGATTATATTAAATTATAAATATCTTTTGTTATAGAGAAAGTGGTGAATAAAGACATGAAATATGAATGGTGTAATTCAAATTGTACAATTCATTTCCAAATCATTATAAATACCATAATTATAATAAACATATGATATGATATGATTGCAAGGGATTTTCATAATTTTAGTGACATTTACTTTCATGGCTCTTTAAATTATTTAATTTACCATATCTCATTTACCCAATTTGGGGCTAACATATATTTAATGGATGTAATTTGGTAAATAACCATTTTTTTTTTTTTTTTTTATGTTTTCTAACATCTAAATCTATGTGGATACGTTTCTAAGAGATAAAATTGTTAATGGATAATGATAATTTTATTATAATATTCTTTTTCCAATTTCCATAAATAGAAACAACAATTTTGACTTTTTTTTAATAAATAATACTATACTTTCAAAGATTTACATACAAAGTGAGGTGATAAAAAATAAATTAAAGAGTGAAACAAAAAGTCAAACTCATTATATTCACTTTTCTATTCATTTTTTATCACATCATTTTGTATGAAAGCTTTTGTAAGATTTCTTTGTAAATGTAGTATTACTCTTTTTTTCAAACTAACACCTTGTATTGTATTGTAGACACTCAAATCATTGACTTTAAATGGAAATTATTTACTTATTATAGCAAGATCATTAAACGAAAATATTAAAAACTAATTTATTGATAGAGATAAACTCCACAGATAATATGTATTATTTCTAAAAATAAATTAAAGTATATATATTATTATTATTTCTAATGCATAGATTTTACCTCCACAAATTCTGTGTCACTCCCCTTTATTTTATCTATGTTTTTACATTTTACCCTCGAAACAAACAGGACAAAAGCCATTCAAAACAAACACCTTTAACCTAAGAAATCTGTACGCGTCCGTTCTCACCATCAATAACTACAAGTACCGTTTTAACCCCTTTTCTTATTCCTTCCCTCTCTCCTTCTCGCTTTGATTTATCGAACTTTCTAGTCCTCTCTGTCGTGCTCTGTTTTGGGTTTTTTTTTTTTCTTGATGGGTGCGAGTTTCTCTGCTTTATTTTTTGACCCAAACTGGTCTTCTGTTTCGGTTCAAGCGAAGCCGGGTCTTGGTGATTTGCCGGAGAGTTGTGTGGCGTCAATTATTGCGTATTTGGATCCGCCGGAGATTTGTAAATTGGCGAAGCTTAACAGGGCTTTTCGCGGTGCGTCTTTGGCTGATTTTGTTTGGGAATCGAAATTGCCTTCAAACTATCAAACTTTGATTGAGAAAGTACTCGGTGATCTCAAAGAAAACATGGGTAAAAGAGAGATTTACGCCAGACTTTGTGGTACTAATACCCTTGATGGTGGCACAAAGGTAATTATTACATGTTTGGACCCTGAGAAAGTTTGAGGTTATAAGATAATGAGAGAGAAATTTTGGGTATTTAATTTCATTCAGCTCTTTGTATTTTTAAGAAAAAAAGATGATTTTTTTTTTTTTTGGATTCTTTATGTTGTAATTGTAATTATTGTTGTTGTTACTTACCAAAAGGATGAGAACCTATTAAACAATCAAATTATTTTTTTGAGATTTACCGTTGGTGTTGTAATTTGATACGCGTTTTTAGTTTTGGTGTTGATGAGCTTGTATATTTTGGTTTATGTACAGAAAGTATGGCTTGATAAGAGTAGTGGTGGTGTGTGTTTATCAATTTCTGCAAAGGGTTTAGCAATCACGGGTATTGATGATCGAAGATATTGGAATCATATTCCGACTGAGGAATCTAGGTGAGATTTATTGGAACTGTTTTAATGAGAATGGAAAAGCTTGTTGGATTCTTATTATCTAGTATATTTTTTTAGATTGGCTGATAAAAGTGCCGGTGTTGGGAGCAATTTCTTGCTGAATTTCTTCAGAGTAGGTTCTTTTGTTATCTTTATTGTATTATGATGTTTCAATGCATGAGGTTGTGATGTTACAGGGGAACTTGAGATTGTATTTCTTCATTAAACATTTTGTCATGTTAGAAACCTTCTCTGGAAAAGTGCTTCCTAGATTTTGACTGCGTGTTGTTTTTGACCTTTTGAATGACTAGTTCTATTAACGTGCCATAGAAGTATTTGATCTGCAAATCATTATAGTTAACTTTTTGAACGATTACTTCATTGCATGTTTAATGAAATTTTAAATATTAATTCTTGTATTACTTACTAGTTTTTAGGTAGGTTTTGTTTTTGTCTTTGCCCATATGTTTTGGGAGTAAAATTAGGCCTCCTTATTATCACCCTGATGATTCTTTCAATATAGCATCATAGTGGATTGTGACTTAGTCATATGAATTAAAAATATATAGCTTTGATGTTTCATGCTTTACAAAAGTAATCAAGGAGTTGGATATGTTTCTTCTGATGCTGTATGAGTGGTTTTAGATGTTTTATAGCAAAATGGAGTGGTGGAATTGATTTTATTTTTGTGTATGTAGATTTGCTTCAGTTGCATATCTTCAGCAAATCTGGTGGTTTGAAGTTGATGGTGAGATGGAGTTTCCATTTCCAGTGGGAACCTATAGCGTGTTCTTCAGACTGCAGTTGGGTCGGACGGCCAAGAGGTTTGGTCGCCGTATCTGCAACACTGAGCATGTCCATGGTTGGGACAGAAAGCCTGTTCAGTTTCAGCTTTGGACTTCAGATGGTCAGCATGCTTCATCTCAATGTATCTTGAATGAATCTGGAAGATGGATTCGATACCACATTGGGGATTTCGTTGTAGAGAATGCCAATGCATTAACGAAGATTAAGTTCTCTATGACCCAAATTGATTGCACACATACTAAAGGCGGTCTCTGTTTAGATTCTGTACAAATATACCCTAGAAAATATACAGGGAGGTTAAAGCATTTTTGAGCAGCATTTAACCACTGCATGTAGGAAGTACAATATAATGTAGAGGTAGAGCATCTTCAAGAGGGAGCGGAAACAAATACCGGTAGTTCTTTCAGGTCTGGAACCATTTTTACGCCAGACGTTGTGTATGTTATTGTCTATTAGTGTGTAATTATCCTTTTTTGTTGTGGAGGGCGTCTTGTACTAGACGAATGCCTACTTGACAATTGAATCACAATGTAATATATCAGTTTTTTTTCCCCCTTTCTCTGTAGGAGCTTCAGGGTTGTGAAACTCTTGTTCATGGCTGTGATACATTCTGGTCTCGCTAGTTTTACAATTGCGAGTTTATTTAAGATTTTATTGAGTCTTCTTAGAAGAAACATTTAATTGTTTTATTCAAATTTGTTTTTTACGCTTTTTCACATAAATATATTAGTTTGGAAATGCTCTCTAAACCAGAATCATTAAGCCTCTATTATTATTTGTACGTTTGGATGACAATAATTTGCAGAGATTGTTCCGCAATCCAGCTTTTCATTGTAATGGAATCCATTATTAGTCATCAATTTTGGAAAACGAGTTGTAATACAGCTTAACTCGTTTACTTACACCAGTAGTATCCTGGCATTACCATTTAAACATCAGGCTTTCATTGTTCATTGTTTCACTTGGAGATTGATAGCAATCTGGTAGGCATCTCAAAAACTTATACTAATAAAACCTTATATTACCTAATTGTCAGGAAAGTAGATTACACGTTAATCACAGATTTAGTATCGACAGAAACCAAAAAAAAAAAAAAAAAAAAGAGGCCCTGTGAAGCTCTATGTTGAGACACTTAACTTGATAGAAATCACAATGAGCTCAGTCACCACAACTACATCAGAAATTGTGTTTTTGAGTTAAACCCAGAAACGATGCTGTGGGTAACTTCTGGCAAATGATGTTCTCTTCTAGAGAAACTCCCATTACCATAAATCCCATAATGGTCCACATCAGAAGCTGCAGCTGTAACGGAGTTGAATTTCCCCACAGTATTATTTGTTGCATTTCCCAAGGCAGCCTGACTGTCGTTGAAAGCTACCTTGTAGTCATCCATTGCGGCTGGCAAGTCAGCCACGGTACTGCTACTACGCTTATGGTGTACTTTATCCAACTCACTTCCCCTCTTTGCTGTTCTACTGTTATTGATCATTTCCTGTAGCAATTTCTGAATAAGGTTGTTCTCCGTTTTCTGCTTGCATCCGGAGGAATGGGAACTTGACAAGCCGTCAACTAATAAATCCTTAATATTTCCAGTATTTAAGGTTTTAAGACCTCCAAGAGATATCGGAGATGCACCCAGTTTAGTCCTGATGCATGATGACGAATGCTCCGGCATCACTTTGCTCATATCGGAGTTAAATGAGTTCCGCCCCAGCAATCGTGTATAATAACCAGGAGACACCAATGCTTCTTCTGAGGCAGTCATAGGCCCACATCTAGGAATGTCTGATTTTTCATTTCCATCATTGTTAAAAAGAGAAGTGGCCATTAACTTTCTCCTGCCAACTGAAGGGTAATGATCACTTTCCTTTCTTTGTGGTTCATCTTCCTGGGGTTTGGTTGTGCGGTTTTCTTGAGAATAACATTTCAAGCTCTCTAAACAAAAGCATTGGTATCAGATAATAGCAACACCTTCGGTCAAAGTAGCAGCATATGATGAAAGATCAATCTTCCCTAGGAAGAAAGTTTGTTTTTCTCAAAAAAAAGAAAACTATTCTTGAGGTGAATATCGATAGGAATTTTGACCCAAAGTTGTTTTAAGAAAAACAAGCATAACTATCTTGCATTTGACCTTAGAGCATTGTTACAACCTCGATATTAAATGAAAAAGGCAGATTATGAACATTAAATCTAAAGTCTAAAAATTGAAAGTAAAGTGAAGATAAAATAGAAGAAATTGACCCTACTGTTACTGTGAAATACAAGACACTTGGGAGATGGAATACAGAAAAATGCCCAAACCTATAAGATATTGCATACCATCTACAGTCATACATGAGAAACTACTCACCAATAGGTCCAATGTTTTTGTCCATGCTGAAAGTGATCAAGTCTTTCATACTGTTGATAATCTCAGATATCTGTAAAACAATAACAATTTGAATCTAGACAATTATTATATTAATCTCAATTTAAAACAGAACATATAATGTGGATGTACCTGCAAGCACCGGACATATCTCTTGGAAAACCCCAAGTTATCAACCGGCTGTAACTCCAAATTTCTAACAAGCTGACACCCACCCACCAGAAACCTATAGCAAGAGAAATTATTAATAAGCATATAACATTTGTAAATTATAAAAGCTCCATACATAAAGGAACAGATATGTTTATTTATTTTTTTGTTCATGAATAGTTTATGGCATCAAAGTTCCTACTTTCTAGATTCATACAAGCAAATAAATATACAATATCCTCATTTTAACCTAGAAACAATCTCATTTCAACAAATTGCATTGTATCTGCTCAATCTTTCAAAGCTTTAAAAGTCAGATTCTTAATTCATCAACTTGTCAATCAACGTGAAGGAAATAGAATCCACAGAGGACTTTAACTAAGGCCAAAGAATGGGATAGAATCATAGAAACTATGCGTGCTGGTATTTATTTGCCACGGTTTGGAATTTACATATTTGCATTTGTCAATCGTATATTTGTTTGTATGTTTGATCAATTAGATTAATCAATTAAAATAGGCTGATATCACCGACTCAAACTACAAATTTTCTCTTTCATTTGGAGTTGCAAAGATTCATTCACCGGAAGGAGACTAAAACCTTACACATTGCAATTTGCTTGTAAGTCATGGGGTGAAACCCCATCCCATCCACCACAGTCAATAGAGCTTTGATAGCTTTGAACAGTATGGACCAACTTATTGATCTGTAAACAGGACATATTTCAAGAATAATATTAGTAAAAAGATGCCGCACCACAAGGGACTATAAAACTGAATGTCAAATAAAACCAATTACACAATCAATATGCTACTTCAAAGTCGGACCACAAATATGAACAGATGGAGACTGTCAAGAATGTACAGACCAGATAAGTACAATGATTTAATACCTGAGGAGCGACCAAATTTCGAGGCAAAAGTTCTTCATGATGCCATGCACAAAATTCCCAAGACAGTATCTGAAAAATAATGAACATATAAAATGAGATCAACATGATGAACGAATCTACCAATTTCATCTGTAATGGGCTCTCTAGTCTCACCTTCAGATCAGAAGTGAAACTTATGCAAAGTTTACCCTCACGAACAACACGGAATTGTTCATACACACTCTCTTGAACTGCTTTGCCATATTCTAAAGTCATTAATCCAGAAAATTGTATAAGCTCACATGGCAGATCAAGATACAAGAGTTCATCGATCACACCACTCTCGAACATTATTTTATTAAGCCTAGGAAGTGCTTCCAAATTTGCCTCTGCCATTAGGACAAGGACAGAAAGAAGTCATATATCACCAAACACATTTAGCTTATGAGAAAAAACGATTTAACAAGAGTAATGTACCACTAAATTTGCTTACCAAACCCCCTCCCTGATTTACAACCGCATACATCACACTGCCAAGTATTCTGGAAAAAAAAAAAAAAAATAGCAACAAACAAATTTTACTTGCAAGCTAAGCCATATTAACACATACTTATGGGGGAAAAGATGTTCAAGACATGTAGATGCATAGAATACATAACCATAAAAGGGCATGCAAGATATACAGAAAAGAAAGTGCATTCACATGCACTAATTAAACTATCTTAAGCCATAAGCTACAAATAATTGAAAGCCTGCACTGGAACGAATGGACAAGATATCCATGAAAGAAGATTAATGTATCACTCAACATGAAAACTTGTGGGAAAACACCAGGGGCATAGCGTTCCACATCATCATAGGAAGACAAACACCACCTTTTCTTGGCACAAGGAGCAAAGTACTCTGTCACAAGTTTCCTCCAGAAGGCAATACCATTATCCTGAATAAAAAATTGAAAAAAAAAAAAAAAAGTTCAACCACCTTGAACTGTATCACTACTCTTTAAGAAAATGTGGATGCATAAAGTTAAAAGACACAAAGATTGTGTCACATTGTCAGGAAACCCAACAACATATTGCCTAGTTATACAACTAGAGGAGTAACTCACAGATGGGCGATGCCTCAGATGATACATATACTGCATTATGCGGCGTGAACATACACCACCATCCAACTTTGGATCATACTGCAAAACATTTTGGTGCTGCTGGATGGCCTCTTGCTCCATCTCTAATCTGGCTTTCTTATGCACCGCAGTTGTAGTAGCACGATCCAGTTTTGCACCTCCTCGATGTCGTCTCCTTTTGTGTGTTTGTGAGTTTTCTAAGCCAAAATTTGAAGTCCCTGAACTGCTTAAACAAGAGGGTAACATAGGCAAAGGCAATGGCGGTATATTGAGGTAAGAATACACATCAGAATTAGCATGTGTTGAAACTGCTGAACTACCCTCAGGGACAAAAGAACTCAACATACTGGGTTGGAAATTTGCTGTTTCATTTACAAGGGTTGGATTTGTTTTCTTAGAGACCATACACTCATTCATGTGTGCAACTTTACCAACAGAAGCTGGAAAATTTCCTGAAGATACATTCAAGAGAGAAGTTACCACAGCCTGGTAGTGTCCATCTTTTTGTAATGAGTTAACAGATTCAGAGTTTGAGGACTGCTGCTGTGTCATTGCCTTGAAGCACAATGCCAATTGATATTTGGAATCGGATAAGGCCCCAAAAGCCATCCCCACTCCTACAAACCTATGTTAGGAGAAGGAACAATTAATTAATTCTTAAACAAAACCAAATTTAACAAGCACCCCAGAAAGATAAAAAGCATACTCAACTCAACCGTTCAAGACAATGAAAAATAATCCAGTTAACAAGAATTCAACCCTTTAAATATCAAACACTTCGCGTCCTATGTTTTCCCTAGATGGAAACTTCCAAAGTTATTTTTGCTCTACAGCTTGAGGAAAATCTATAATTAAATAGCAGGATTGCCCCTGGAAACAAACAAAAAAGAGTCTTATACCTAAATATGTAAAATCTAAGAAAGACTAATTAGGCAGTGTTAACTAAACGACAAATCAAAGGATCATAAGAAATATAACCTTGAAAATTTTTAATCTTGTTGCTTCAAAAACAGAGAAGAAAAGATTAGCCTCAAGTA